TAAAATAAATACATTAATTAATTAAGTTGCCCTTTTCAGAAAGAATAGGTTTTATGGCTTTTGCCTTATAGCAGGGGTCCCCAGCGTGGTGCCTATGGGCACTAGGACACCCACGCACACCTTTTCTGGTGCCTGCCAGATGTTTCTAGAAAGTGGGTGGAGCCAGGTGGGGCTTTTGCCCAGCAAGGAATCTGGTTGTCTAATGGAGATCTGATTGAATGAGCATAGTTTTAAAAAATGTTTCAGAGGCAGCTGCCACTTTGATGTAGTGGTTAAGTGTGCGGACTCTAATCTGGGAGAACTGGGTTTGATTCCCCACTCCTCCACTTGCACCTGGCTGGATGACCTTGGGCAAGCCATAGCTCTGATAAGAGCTGTTCTTGAAAAAGAGCAGTTTCTGTCAGAGCTCTCTCAGCCCCACCTACCTCACAGGGTGTCTGTTGTGGGGAGGGGAAGGGAAAGGAGTTTGTAAGCCGCTCTGAGACACCTTTGGGTAGTGAAGGGCGGGGTTTAAATCCAATTAGTGAGGAGACAGCATTGGCAAAAGGGGTGTAACAGATGGGATTGTACACCTATATATACCAGGGTCAGTTTCAGGGAGAGAAACTCTCAAATAATTAGCCATCAAATAACACACGCATCCAAGGCTACAGAGAAATGGAGGAGCTTAGAGACATATAGGGAGTTTTGAGGTGATATTTACCCGATCCAGATGTGCAGAAGTCCAATAGGAGGAGATCATGAATGACCAGCGTATCATGAACAAAAGGGACCCAAACTGTGAGTTTGGGGGTGCTACTCTACTAGGTGCCCTAAAATGTCACATGGAGGCATGGCTGGGCACCCATTTTTATAGATTTATAGAAGGTATCCTGAGGGACTTGAACAAAGGAACAAAAAGGTTTCCGATTAGGGGTTTCCCAAACCTTAAACAAAAGGTGTGATGGGTACAACTTGGAGGATGCATGGAGTGCTGATGGCTGATACTATCTGATACTTCAAAGTTAATAGCTTTTTGGTAACCCAGGAGAATTGCTCAGGAAGAGGATCATAAATCTGTTCTCCAGAGAAATGTTTACACTTAAAAGGAAGTATGATGGGAGCCATAAAGGACAGATGTAGGTGTTTTGTAGATAAATGTATTTACATGAGACGGAGACAAAGGGAGCTTTTTCAGAGAAAGAAGATCTCCATATTGGGGACATGCTGGCATGCAGAGAATGTTGATACTTAGGGGAGGGGGGCATATTGCACATAGACTAGACACATGTTCTGTTTCCACTTCCTCCAGAGCCCATGTTTTAGCAGAGCTCATATGTTCATAAATGTGTGTTTGTGCCCCTCTTAGGATTGACTGAAGACTCAGGAGCAGTGCCTTTTGAGGGACACTGGGCTACTTCAGGAGTGAGGGTGCCTGTATTAGGGTGCCCTCTGATGCAGGGTATACTGGTGGGATTGCAACCCTGGAGAGCCACTGGTACTCTGAGCAGACAGTACTGACTTGGATGGACCAAGGGTCTGATTCAGTATAAGGCAGTTTCACGTGTTCGTGTGTATGCAAACATTTCAAGGCCATTTTGCAGACGGGATTGTTCCTACACTCAGGTAATCTCTATCCAGGAGCACCTTCACACATTTGCCACAAGTCCATATATTAGGCAGGCTGCGGATCCAGTCTGCTCAGAATGAAAGAAAATGTACATGCTTTCCTCTGTATGTTGCGGGGAGGGGAACATGACGTCTGAATGGGTCCTGAGACTCCAGAGGCAGAAAGGAATTGGCCAGTTCTTAGTTTAAACATCTGATTTATTTAACCACATCTGCAAAGAGTGCTGGAATCTGCATCTCTTCAAAAGCTGCACTCTTAAAGAAAAAGAAAGAAAAACCCACATCAGCCATTCCCTTTAAATGTAATTTTAGACAAAGCTGAACTAAAGAGGTTATTTTTGGTTTACATCCACAAGCTGGAGGTCCCACCACCAATGCATTCAGCATCACAAAATGTGGAGAATAAGGTTTTAAATCCATTAGCACAGTCATTACCAAGCTGTGCAGGATGAGTGAGATGCTAGTGAGCCATGAGGAATGAAGATATTAAGTGATTAAAAGCTCTACACTCTCAAAGAGGCTGCCTACTGCTTCTCTGCATGATCCACTGTTTTCAGCTTGCCTCCACTTAATCTAGGCTTGTCAGACCCCCGGTTGGGGTGGGTTTTCCCCCAATCTCAGGGGTTCCAATTCGCTGCCAGCCACCTGGCCGGCAGGGGAAGCCCCACCCTGAAACAGCCCCATCAACATCATCAGTGTGATGACATCACCCAGAAGTGATGTCATCATGCTGGGCATGTCATGCAATGGCGCTCTAGCATTTTGGCCAAAACTCTATGGTAACCATGGAGTTTTGGTCAAAGTACTAGACTGCCTGGCGTGATGACATCACTTCTGGGGGATGTCATCATGCAGCGTGCACGTTTCTCACACGCACCAAATTATCCATGTATGGACCTGGGTGCCCTCCACTGGAAGCCTGGTAAGACCTGGTAACCCTAATTCAATCAGCTGTTGCTGGAAGCAGGTAATTCTGCTTTGTCTTTGCATCAGGATTCCATCACTCCTAATACAGAAATACAGCCGCAGAATTACTTGCCCTGTTGTATTTCTGGATGAGTCCCTGCTGAGGGCTTGCCGATTTTCAATCATGTGCCCAGAGCAGTGACTCATGCAGTACCGTGGCAGTGGAGTTCTCTAAGGCAGATAATTCGTAGTTGTATATATACTGTGGAAGTCAACTCTTTGGGGAATAAGAGTGAAATACATCTCCAGTTTTAATTCATAAAAGAAATAAAAATGCGCCCCGCTTATCCGAAGTCTGGGTAACGCACCAAATTAATGTGTACTTTAAAAATGTTATCATGTTATCATGCATCACAGCCTTCTATTCCTAGATGCGCCGTGCAAAACAGAAACGGACAAATAAAAACACATGTTCCAGACTGCAGGGTATTAGAAACACATGGCGTTTCCCTCCCCCTCCCCCAGAACCGTTCCGTATCTTGAGCCGAATGAAAAATCTCAGACCATTTAGAGTCTCGTTCATATCTAGAGGAACCTCTTTCCAGAACATCAGGACCGCATGCTATGAGGATCCCCTGGGGGGTTGAAATATGTTATTCATTTCTTCTAGTTTATTTTCCATTCTCTTTAAATTATGGACACGAAATTACAGCATTGACTCTTGCATGTCCTAGTAGCTGAAATGTTAATTTGTTTCTCCAGTCAGCCGGCTTTCAAGTATCCTTCATCAAATTAGGCAAGCAGAACACTGCCTCCCCCCCCTCCCCGATTGTTTCGGGAACAAAGGCTTACTGTTATAATAGAAATAACAAGTTTATTATTTTTTAATAAACAGTGGTGGCGGCTGTCCCACAACACTGGTGTTGCTCTGAACTCCTCCACTCTATACCCGCACCATATAAAACTCTTGTGACCCAGGCAGTGTCCCCCCCCAAAAAAAAACCCCTCAAGATCACTTTTATCAAACTTAAATGATCAGGGGGCACACAGGGAAAGCTTTATCTGGCTTTATCTGATACTGCAAGTGAGCCTGGCTAGGACAAAAAGACAGGGTCTCCAGTGGGGTTGCCAGGAGGTGGCTGGAGGTGACCCAACTGATCTCCAGGCTACAGAGATCAGTTCCCCTGGAGAAAATGGCTGCTTTGGAAGGCTGACTGGCTCTTGGATTCAGAGGCTGACTGCCTCTGAAAGTGGAAGTTCCCTTTCGTCACCAAGGTTAGTAGTCACTGATAGATCTCTCCTCCACCATGGATCTGTTTAATCCAGGGTTGCCAGCTCTGGATTGGGAAATACCTGGAGATTTGGGGGGTGGAGCCTGAGGAGGGCGGGGTTTGGGGAGGGGAGGGACCTCAGCAGGGTATATAGCCATAGAGTCCACCTTCAAAGGCAGCCATTTTCTCCAGGAGAACCCATCTCTGTCATGTGGAGATCAGTTGTAATAGCGGGAGATCTCCAGCCACCCCCCGGAGATTGAACTCTGTAATGAAAAACAACCGTGATACGATAACGAAACCTTGTTAGAGAAAAATACATCTTTTTTAATTATCCCGTGAATAACAAATCATTAAACGTGTTTTCTTTGAAGTAAATTGGTCTCAAGTTTTTCTTTCTGATGTACAGTGCTCAATAGACCATTTCACTCTAGGTTTAATCAGATGAGACCTTATACCTTTTGTATTTTTTCTACTCCCTCTTCCTTTCTAACTTACATCATTTGGTTATGTGAAAAGCCCTAGAACCCAAGGTCTACCAGCAGTGGAGACTTTAAGTTTGGCTTCTAGAATCCAGCTAATACATTGTGAAGACCTTGGGTTCTGTTATTAGAAGTCGACATGGAATGCTTCCATCAAGAGTTGATGAGTAGTAATTGATCAGAATTGTGATTGTTACACGCTCAGATAAAGCAAATATTGTGAAACGAATTGTTTACACTGTGCAGCATTTGTTAGCGTGTGAGCGATAATAGAAGAGAATTTTCTATAGAATTACTACAGTAAATGATCTTGCAACATATCTTCATTGACTCTTCATTATTTTTGTCACGGATGTTGTTTTTGAATTTCCACTTCCTCCCGTGATCTCTCATTTTTGGCTTCTAGCCTCCAGGTGGGGCCTGGAGCTCTCCCCAAATTATAATTTATCTCCAGATGACACAGATCAGTTCCCCTGGAGAAAATGGCTGCTTCAGACTCTATGCTTCTGTGTTGTATATTTTTTATTGTTTTTTGATTGCTTTAATCATTGTTGTAAGCTATCTCCAGTTCTGGAGAAAAGGAATGAATATAAATAGTGTAAATGAAATTACTAGTATTATTAACATCATTTGGTGAAGGAAACGATGTTGGAGCAGTATCCTTTTGGCCTACTTGAAAAGTGTTTTTAAAGTGTTTTAATGTATAATTATTATCTCTCTCTGTTTCTTTCAGGAAAAAGTGCTGTAAGGGTTATAAATTTGTTCTTGGGCAATGCATCCCCGAAGGTATGTGATTAAATTGTTTCTTCCTGCACTGACCGCTGCAGTAGCTCTGATTTCCTGTGCTGCTAATAAAGACAGGATTGATTCCAGTGGTCACACTCAGGTCCACGTTCACTAGCGTAGTTTCATAATTGTGTTGAGTGTTGTGTTACATTCAAGACTGACAAATGTTCATTCTAGTATGTTTGTGAAAAGAGCCCATTTTGCAAGAGGCTTGAAGCTTATGCTAGAATTAAAACATGTTAGCTATAAAGGTGCCACAAATTTCCTTGCAACAAAAAGCACTTCCCCCCCCTCCCTTGCAACAAACAAGGACTGCTGGCCCTTTGGACTTCGTTTCTACAGTTTCAACTATTCACCAGATGTGTGTGGGATCATTAGATTTCCCTTCTGATTACTGACAGTTGCCATGGAAAGAAGAAGAGAGAAGAGATTGGATTTATACCCTGCCCTTCACTACCTGAAGGAGCCTCAGAGGGGCTTACAATCTCCTTTCCCTTCCCCTCCACACAATAAATACCCTGTGAGGCAGGTGGGGCTGAGAGAGCTCTCTCGAGTACTGCCCATGAGAGAACAGCTCTGAAAGAACTTATGACTGACCCAAGGTCACACCAGCAGCTGCATGTGGAGGAGTGGGGAATCAACCCTGGTTCTCCCAGATTAGCGTCCACGCTCCTAACCACTACACCAAACTGGCTCTCTCTCCATACTGTAGACTAGAGGTGTTGAACTCATTTGTTACAAGGGCCGGATCTGACATAAATTTTATTTTGTTGGGCCGGGCCATGTGTGCCGTAAAATGTAATTTCAGGCACTAGAGATATAAACTTTATAAAGGACACAGGCAAACCCAATTAACAAGATTATTTTCTCTCAAAATACAAAGAAAAACTATTGATTCCTAGGAGTGAAAGGAACTGATTTACTAGGGAACCTACAAAAGCCCCAATCAATGTATTTCATCATATGCAAGGCTAGTTTCCGCCCCCCCTGGGATACCATAAAAGGGGCGGCACCAGCCTGAGCATGGAACGACTCAAAGAAACAGTACAAGATCGGAAAACGTGGAGAGAGCTGGCCCATAGAATCGCCAAGAGTCGGACATGACTGAATGGCTAACAACAATCTTACATTTCCATACAAATTAGTTACTTTTGGTATAGAAAGCGTTTTTAGGACATATGTCTAAATAATGTGTCTAAATAATTTCCCTTGCAAATAAATAAGGTAATTTCTCAGCACACACACCCCCATGCCAAACCATAGCAGCCGAGCACAGCTACAATCCGTCTCTCACTTTGTTTCCTCACTTCCCCCATCCTACCTCTGAGGATCTCGAGGAGGCCCGCAGGATTTCCTCCTCCGCTGCCCCATCCCTACCACCACCAACAACAACCCTGTGAGGTGCTCCGGGCTGCATGACCAGCCCCGGGTGACCTAGATGACAGGGTCCTGGCTCAGGAAAGGGAGGGGGGTCTGAACCAGGCTCTCCCAGATCCTCTCATGCCCAGTTCTCTTCCCTGAGAGGAAGGCCTGATGGAGATGCTGTTTGAGAAACCTCCAAGGGGTGTTTTTGTCCTCCCGTGACCCTTTTCCCTCATGGGCTGAGAACAGGTGGGGGGAAAGAAGGGGGGTCATGCTCTTTCCCTTCCTGGCCCTGTTCTTTCATCAGCAAACCGCCGCTTTGCATGCCCGCTTTTACCAAACCCCCTCATGGTCACCATTTGGTGCAGCAGTAGCAGTGCCAGCTCCACCCCCCTACATGTAGTGGGTTCACCAATCCTCGCCGAGCTGTGGTCAGAGGAGAAAAAAACACCATGCCTCCTCTTTCTCCGCCTTTGTTTTATGTGACCAGGCACATGGTGCCGAAAGTGTAAGCCACCCTGAGTCCGTTCCCAGGGAGGGCGGGATATAAATATAATAAATAATAATAATAATAATTCTCCCCACACTCTTTTACCTCAGCCTCTTAGCCTTGCCCCTTAGCCACATCCTTTCTAGTTCTTGGGAGCTTTACCACACACACCTCACCAGCAGGTTCCTGCCTTCCCTCTCTCATAGCAGTTGTTCACATGATGTGAAAGAGCCCTGGATGGGCAATAGGGTTGTCAAGTCCATTTTAGCCCCCAGCGGGGGACTTTGGGGGGCGTTCCTGGAGGGGGCGGGGCATCCCCAACGTGATGACATCACGTTGGGGACATCTACCACCCCCCGCCTGCCCAATGGGAGTGCGGGGAAACGCCAGCTCCCTGCACTTAAAGGGGCCCCTTTAAGTGCACAGAGCTGAAAGGCTTCACTCATCCGATCTCCGCTTCGAGATTAGGCATGCGGGAAACACCAGCTTTTAAGAGAACTAAACGTGGGTTGTCTTTAAATTACCAGTTTGTGTTGTTGATTTTTTGCAACTTTTTTACGTTATGCAAATGAGCACGGCCTGTGACTCCTCACTTAGTAAAGCTTTACACTTACTGCATGTTACTCGGAACAGTAGTGTTTTACGAGTCATATGTTCTCCGCTTTGGCAGTCGAGGGCCGATCTTATACCATTAGAGCAAGGTCCTGCCAAGACAGATGCATGTACTTAACTTTACGCAGTGCTGATGTGAACCAAAGCCAGCTGAAGTCAACAAAAGGACTCACCTTGATTTTATCAGGTTGATTTATTGTCGGCAGATGTGCTGATCTAACAGCTCAAAGTCCTTTGGGAACCTTGGCATCCCAAACACTAGCCCAATAATGAATTGGGACAAGACCAGAAAATATGGATAGAAAACTTAGCAGGTGACAAATCCAGTCGGTGATTTCACCTAAGCTCGGCTCCGTCATCAGCATGTCAGGCTGCACTGAGAAAAACTCGGGGATCATGCAGCCCTGCAAAATTGATCCTCTGAAGCAGGGCAGGAAATACTTTTGCAGTGAGAAGACCCTGACATAGCGGACCGCACTTACGTCATGGACAGGCCGCATGATTGCAGCCAATTTGAAGCCAATGGGGCTTAGAAGATGACTTCAGCTTTGGGTGCATGTGGGAAAAATAAACATATCTTCAGCCCTCTAAAATTCTGACGGTGCATTTGGGTTCTGCCCCTCTTAAACTTATTTCCAAGTGGGCAAAAAAGAAAGGAATATGTGGATGGACACCGCTGCTAATGGCTCAAAAAGGGAACCGTATTCCAGTAGCCCAGTGAAAAAACAATGGGGAACCCTCTTCTAAGAAGAGCCTCAACAATGCAATGGCTGAGAAGCACCAGTAACCGCTGAGGCCAGAAACAGACATCACCAGAGATCCGTAGTGGCTGCTGAAAGAATAATCCCTCTGCCCCCTCCTCTTTTCTACTCAGTACAACAAGACACATGGTGGAATTGTTATGGTCCTAGATTCCCCACCCCTGTAAGCATCAGCCAATGAACCGCCTTCCCCCTCTCCAGGCCTTTTTTTGTAGAAAAAGCCCAGCAGGAACTCATTAGCATAATAGGCCACACCCCATGCCTTCCCTTGGCTGTGGGGAGCCCAGGCAAGCCTTCCCCGATCCTTCCAGGGGGCCCCCTAGCCTGCCCACCTTGGAGTTGCTGGGCAGAGGGGTCACTCTCCAGGCCTTCCCTCTGTAGCCACGCATGCAGAGGTTTGGGCTGTAGTGGGCGTGGCCAACTCTGAAGCCAGCCGGAACGCCGTTCCTGTGCGTTCCTGCCCAAAAATAGCCCTGCCCCTCTCTAATTCTTGGATTCTCTGGTTCTAAATTTTAGAATTCCTACATTGATCAGGGACGTTGTACAAGGTGGCTATAAGGCCCTTCCCAATTGTATGATTCTCTGATTCTAGGTTAAGTTGGGGAGTGGGAACCTTGGGAGAGCCATGACATCATGGCAGGTCTTTTGAGAGTTAGTTTGCTGTAGTGGTTAAGTGCGCAGACTCTAATGTGGGAGAACCAGGTTTGATTCCCCACTCCTCCACGTGCAGCTGCTGGTGTGACCTTGGGTCAGTCATAAGTTCTCTCAGAGCTGTTCTCTCAAGGGCAATTTGTGGGAGAGCTCTCTCAGCCCCATCTACCTCACAGGGTGTCTGTTGTGGGGAGGGGAACGGAAAGGAGATTACAAGCAGCTCTGAGACTCCTTTGGATAGTGAAGGGCAGGGTATAAATCCAATCTCCTCCTCCTCCTCCTCCTCCTCTCTTGCTGCACATTATTGTGTGGAGATGAAGAGAAGCCTTCAGCAGCTGCCATGCGCAGCCAGTAACATGTGTCATTATTGTGCAGAGAGGAAGAGAAGACTTTCATCCACTGCCAAGCATGGCCAGCCAGCATCATAAATCTTCCCTTCTACGTTATAATCCCTGCCCTGGTTCTTGGCATAACACTGGGACGCTATATAATGCAACCACTGATTTGTAAAGAGTGTCAACCCCAACGCGCTTAAATCATCATCATCATCAATGTATTTACATAAGTGTGTTAAGAGCCAGTGGGTGTAGTGATTGAGTGTCACACTAGTAACTGGAAGACCCAGGTTCAAATCCTCACGCATGCCTTGGAAGCTCGCTGGGTGACCTGGAGCCAGTCACATTCTCGCAGCCCAGCCTACCTCACAGGGTTGTTGTGAGAATAAAATGGAGGAGAGGAGAATGGTATAAGCTGCTCTGCGTCCCCATTGTGGTATAAACAAATTGAATAAATAAAATAAAAATGTTTACCCTGTCCTTCCTCCAAGGAACTCAGGATGGTGTACAACATTCTCCCCCTCCTCTGTTTTGTCCTCACAACAACCCTGAGAGGTATATTAGACTGAGAGATAAAGACTAGCTCAAGGTTAGCCGTTCAGGTGGGGTAGCCATGTTGATCTGAAGCAGTAGAACGAAGTCTGAGTCCAGTGGCACCTTTAAGACCAGCAAAGTTTATTTCTGGGTGTCAGCTTTCATATGAATGCTCACAAAAGCTTATACCCAGAATCAGACATCAGTGGTCTTAAAGGTGCCACTGGACTCAGACTTTGTTCCAAGGTTACCCGGTAAGTTTCATAGAAATAGATAGCAGAAAGATTCCATGGAGGATGCTTGCAAGCAATGCTCCCTCTAAGCTGTGGAGTCTTGTTTGTGGAGAGCCAGTTTGGTGTAGTGGTTAAGTGTGCGGACTCTAATCTGGGAGAACCAGGTTTGATTCCCCACTCCTCCACTTGCACCTGCTGATGTGACCTTGGGTCAGTCACAAGCTCTGGCACAGCTGTCCTTGAAAAAGAGCAGTTTGTGTCAGAGTTCTCTCAGCCCCACCCACCTCACAGGGTGTCTGTTGTGGGGAGGGGAAGGGAAAGGAGTTTGTAAGCCGCTCTGAGACTCCAAGTGAAGGGCGAGGTATAAATCCAATCTCCTCCTCCTCCTCCTCCTCCTCCTCCTCCTCCTCCTCTTCTTCTTCTTCTTCTTCTTCTTCTTCTTCTTCTTCTTCTTCTTCTTCTTCTTCTTCTTCTTCTTCTTCTTCTTCTTCTTCTTCTTCTTCTTCTTCTCAAAAATCCTACTGTGTGAGCTACTGGCATTAAAGTTGAGAGCAAGTGATTTGGCTACTGCACGAACTAGTTTACTCTGGAGCCATCCTTCCTGAGCTAAGACAAAGGTGTGTGAGCTGGAGGCTAAAAAACTGTGAGCTGGCTCACACTAACTCAGCTTAGAGGGAACACTGCTTGCGAGGATCATTGTGCCATTATGTCTAATTCCTTCTTTTTGGAGGCCTCTAGTTCTTCGTTTTGTTAGACAAAGTCATCTGTCAAACGTAGCAATCCAGAGGCCCCGCACCCAAAATACTGGTGTGCATCTAACCCTCTGTTGACTTTGTAAAATGGGATCTTCCCAGATCTGTTTTTGGCTGGAGCATGCTGAACACCCCCAGTTTTGTTCTGGGGGGGGGTCAGTAGACCCTCACGTATAGCAGAGGAGACAAAGCGGGGCTCTACAGAGGGAGAGGGCATTTGTGGGGGGGGAGCCACCCAGGCCCGTAGCTAACATGGGGCCCACGGGGCCCGGTCCCCTTGTGTTTCTTCTGGGCCCCCTCCCTCCAGGGCTGCCCCCAAAGTGCTCCAACTTACCACCTGCACTGTACTTCCATTTAATTAGCTGGCGGGCCCCCCCAAGGCCCCCTCCCAAAGAATTCCCTAGCTACGGGGCTGGAGCCACCCCCCTCCTCTGCAAATGAAAATGCTGCTCCACTGGAGAGACTGCCCGGTTGGATTCATGCTGCTGATAAAAACCAATCTTCCCATGATTACTAACTTGATATTCAAAACTCAAGGACAAGTGGCAAATTGATGTTCCACCGTTTAACAACCAGTGTACATTGGCTTATATTTTAAGCGCATTTCTCTTCCTTTCACTCTCTCTCTTTCTAGACTATGATGTCTGTGCAGAGGCTCCTTGTGAACAACAGTGCACAGATAACTTCGGGCGTGTTCTTTGCACCTGCTATCCTGGTTATCGGTATGACCGTGAAAGACACAGGAACAGAGAGAAGCCCTATTGCCTAGGTGAGTATAAAACAAAACCCCACAACTGAAATAATAACATTCAGATGTGCCAACTGGCCAGATTTGGATTTTGCAGAACTTTGGCAAAGTGTGGATCTTTAAGCAGCGAACCACAGCTTTCAGGGTCTAGAGAGCCAGTTTGGTGCAGTGGTTAGGAGGAGCGCGGACTCTAATCTGGGAGAACCGGGTTTGATTCCCCACTCCTCCTCCACATGCAGCCACCTGGGTGACCTTGGCAAACTACAGTTCTCTCAGAGCTGTTCTCTTAAGAGCAGTTCTCTCAGAGCTCTCTCAGCCCCACCTACCTCACAGAGTTTCTGTTGTGGGGAGAGGGAGGAAAGGATATTGTAAACAGCTCTGACATTGAGTGAAGGGTGGGGTATAAATCCAATCTCCTCCTCCTCCTCCTCCTCCTCTTCTTCTTGCCAATGCAGAGGTATTGACAGTGTTGTAGGGAAGGGGTTAAGACAATGGTTTATAATCAGGGAAGTCCCCCGTTCAAATCTTGCCTTGGCCACAAACTCACTAACTCATCCATTGGTCTTAGGTGAGCCATTCTTCCCCCTCACCCTATGTCTGCAGTAAAGTAAAGGTAAAGGTTCCCTTGCTCAAAAGCCAGTCGAGTCCGACTCTAGGGTTGCAGTGCTCATCTCCGTTTCCAAGCCAAAGAGCCAGCGCTGTCCGAAGACGTTTCCGTGGTCATGTGGCGGGCATGACTAAACACCAAGGCGCACGGGACGCTGTTACCTTCCCACCGAAGTGGTCCCTATTTATCTACTTGCAATTTCTTGCTTTCAAACTGCTAGGTTGGCAGGAGCTGGGACCAGAGATGGGAGCTCACTCCGTCACGCGGCACACTCGGGTCTCGAACTGCTGAACTACCGACCTTCCACAGCCTGCAGTTCAGCGTCTTAACCACTTGAGCCACCGCAGCTCCTGTCTGCAGTAGGGAAATCATAATACTGGGCTAGGTTACAGTGCCCTGACCTGGAAGGCCCAGGCTAGCCTGATCTCATCAGATCTCAGAAGCTAAGCAGGGTCGTCCTGGGTTAGTACTTGAATGGGAGACTACTGAGAAAGTCCAGGGTTGCTGTGCAGAGGCAGGCAATGGCAAACGACTTGGGTTCATCTCTTGCCTTGAAAACGTCATGGGGAGTCACCATAAGTCGGCTGCGACCTGACCGCACTTTCCACCACCAATAAGAAGAGGCGCTGACCCAGCTGGCCCAGGCTACCCCAATCTCATCAGATCTCAGAAACTAAGCGAGGTCGGCCTTCGTTAACACTTGGATGGGAGACTACCGAGGAAGACCAGGGTCGCTATGCAGAGGTAGGCGATGGCAAGCGCTTAGGGCTCTTTAGCTTGGAGAAACGACGACTGAGGGGTGACATGATTGAGGTTTATAAGATTATGCATGGGAAAGAGCAGGTAGAGAAAGAGGTACTTTTCTCCCTTTCTCACAATACAAGAACTCGTGGGCACTCCATGAAATTGCTGAGCGGTCGGGTTAGAATGGATAAGAGGAAGTACTTCTTCACCCAAAGAGTGATTAACACTTGGAATTCACTGCCACAGGAGGTGGTGGCGGCTACAAGCATGGACGGCTGCAAAAGGGAATTAGATAAGCATATGGAGCAGAGGTCCATCAGTGGCTATTAGCCACAAGGTATAGATAGGGGCTCTGGGGCAAGTGATGCTCTGTCTTCTTGATGCTTGGGGGGGTCAACAGTGTGAGGGCTTCTAATGTCCTGGCCCCACTGGTGGACCTCCTGATGGAACCTGGTATTTCTGGCCACTGTATGATACAGAGTGTTGGACTGGATGGGCCTTCGGCCTGATCCAACATTGGCATCTCTTATGTTCTTATGTTCAAGCCACCTCTGCTCCTCTCTTGCCTTGAAAACTTCATGAGAGGTTGCTGTAAGTCGGCTGCGACTTGATGGTACCTTCCACCACCAGCTTATGGGGTTGCTGCAGACAAAACTGCCTTATTTGACTCAGACTTTTGGGTCGTCCAGTTCAGTATTGTACCCTGTGTTTGGGGTCAGCTCTTTAGCATATGAAGCATAAAAAAGTCTTCCCAAAATCCTGAAGACAGCTTCAGGTTGGTAGCCGTGTTGGTCTGAAGCAACAGAACAAAGTTTGAATCCAGTGGCACCTTTAGGACCGGCAAAATTTAATGCTGGGCAAAATTTAATCATTCCCACTAACTATTTGTATAAAAAATGGGGAAACTTCGATTACTTACTGTACTTGAATTCATTTTTGCCAAATGGCTCCTGGTTAAAAGTATTTTACATTATTTCTGCTTACTTGGAAATTACAGGAAATGGCACAGTGCACCGATTCAGTGATTAAACTGATTAGACCTGCTTTTCTTTTCTTAGTAGGTCCCCATGACATTTTGTTTCGTATACTCGTACCTACCTATTTCTGACCCAGAAAAGAACTGCAGTCTCTACTGCGGATCCACCCACACACATGATGATACACTTGCTCATATGCACACCAGTTCTGAAGAAGTGTATGTGTGCAGTGCACAAAAGCTTATACCCAGAATTTTTAAAAAAGTACTCTATTTTAGTTTTCCAAAATATACAGCCGTTAATATCGGTACAAATAACATTTGAGTCTAACATCGACCATTGTTTTTTAAACCATTCATATACTCTCGACCATCATTCCTGAAACACAAACATATCTTTACCATGTAATAAAGTAGTTAATTGATCCATTTCTGCTATATCCTACAATTTGTTTAGTAACTCCTGGGTTGTAGGCAAATTAATAGATTTCCAGTATTTAGCAACTATAATTCTTGCTGACGTTACAATATATGTTAGCAGGTAATTATCACTGCGATCTAAACCTTTCGGTAGCATATTTAACACATAAACGTCTGGCACTAATTCTAAATTAATTGATAACATATCCCATATTAATTTTTTAACCTCCTTCCAAAATTTGTTAATTTCTTCACACCCCCACCACATGTGAAAAAAGGATCCCACATTATCCTTGCATCTCCAACAGTTTTTAGATATATTAGAGGAGCCCTTGGCTGCCCTATCTGGCGACCAGTACCATCTATAAAACATTTTTATAACATTTTCCTTATAAGATGTTGCTTTCAAAAATTGTACGGATTTCCATGTTTTAGACCAATCATCCATTTGTATGGTATGCCCTAAAGCTTATACCCAGAATTAAACTTGTTGGTCTTAAAGGTGCCACTGGACTCAGACTTTTCCCCCAGGCCATGTAATTCCAGCTTTTTTTTTTTTAGGGTGATACCTGGGATCCATTGTCCTATAATTTTTATGCTTCTAGGAAGGGAAAGATACAGGGCCTTGAGTCCTCTAGAGGGAACCCTTTTTTCCTGATCATTTTTTCCCCTTATTTTTTTCACCCTTTCAGATATTGATGAGTGCGCGGCAAGCACTGAACCTCCCTGCCCCCACATCTGCATCAATACTGTTGGCAGCTACCGATGCGAGTGCCACGAAGGCTTCATCCGTGAAGATGACGGCAGGACGTGCACAAAAGGAGAGAAAGGTATTCCTTTGGCATTGTTTCAGTGATCCACCATGGACACAGAAGCTGTCTGAGTAGACTAAATCTAAGCCTGCTGGGAATACAAACCCTTGCGCTCAGAAGCAAACCGTTCGGTTAAAACCAGAAATCTTTACTCCAGGGCAAATGTTTGTCTTAATGTATAACCGTGGAGTATATACACTTTGCCCAGCATGTCATGAAAGTGCAGGGAAATTGGAGCTGGGGCAGGGATGGTAGGTTCCCCTAAAGTTTGAATCCTGAACACACACACCCCTTTTAACCCATCTCTGCAAACTATTTATTTTTTGTGCCAATGCAGCAGTAATCTATCGCCTGCACCCCTTTGCCTCCCAGCTCTTGCATCGTTTCCACTTACCAACATTGTAACTCCTCCAAGTCTGTGTTTTAAAAAATTGGAGCAATCAAACTGCACCAAGAAAAATCAGATTGTGCCTTATGTGACTCGGGCTTAGGGTTGCCAGTATCTGGGTCCCAGTGGGTTTCCCCCCAATTTTGGGAGGCCCAGCCTGCAGCCAGGCAGCTGGCAGGATGGAAACCCCACCCCCAAAAGCCACATCCCCACACAACGTCCCCAGTGCAATGACGTCACCTGGAAGTGGTGTCATCATGTCGGGGCTGTTGTGCGGGACACTCTGGTTTGAGGGCAGAACTCTATGGTAAATTTGGCCTAAAACCATAGAGTTTTGCCCTCATACCAGAGTGTCACAATGCGCCAAGGCTAATGCAATGGCATCACTTCTGGGTGATGTCATCACATTGGGGACGTCCCGGAACACCCCCCAAATCCCCCTGCTAGCACGGTAAGGGGACCTGGCAACCCTACACGGGCTGCAATCCTGTGCACACTACCTGGGATTAAATCTCACTGAATTTAGTGGGATTTACTTCTGAGTAAACATGCAGCCTGAATAGACCAGCCTCATTCAGTCTTGACAGATCTTGGAAGCTAAGCAGGGTTGGCCCTGTTTATTGTTGTTGTTGTTATTTCTGGGGCAAGTGATGCTCTGTATTCTTGGTTCTTGGTGGGGGCAACAGTAAGAAGGCTTCTGGAGTTCTGGCCCTGCTGGTGGCACTCCTGATGGCACCTGGTATTTTTGGCCACTGTGTGATAAAGAGGGTTGGGCTGGATGGGCCGTTGGCCTGATCCAACATGGCTTCTCTTACGTTCTTATGTTCTTATTTTGTATCACACATCTGACAGAAACAAAGTGAATCTGAAGCCCCCACTCCTTGGCCTGCCTCTGAGACCTCATCAGCCATTTCCCACATTTCAAGCTCCCTTTCAGTAGTTATAAGGCCTAGATACAGTTCTGGTCAACACACCTCAAGAAGGATATTCTAGCATTGGGAAAAGAGCAGAAAAGGGCAACTAGAATGATGAAAGGGTTGGAACACTTTCCCTATGAAGAAAGGTTAAAGCGTTTGGGGCTCTTTAGCTTGGAGAAATGACGGCTGAGGGGTGACATGATCGAGGTTTATAAGATTATGCATGGGACAGAGCAGGTAGAGAAAGAGGTACTTTTCTCCCTTTCTCACAATACAAGAACTCGTGGGCACTCCATGAAATTGCTGAGCGGTCGGGTTAGAACGGATAAAAGGAAGTACTTCTTCACCCAAAGAGTGATTAGCACTTGGAATTCACTGCCACAGGAAGTGGTGGCGGCTACAAGCATGGACGGCTTCAAGAGGGAATTAGATAAGCATCTGGAGCAGAGGTCCATCAGTGGCTATTAGCCACAAGGTATAGATAGGGACTCTGGGGTAAGTGATGCTCTGTCTTCTTGGTGCTTGGGGGGGTCAACAGTGGGAGGGCTTCTAATGTCCTGGCCCCACTGGTGGACCTCCTGATGGCACCTGGTATTTCTGGCCACTGTGTGACACAGAGTGTTGGACTGGATGGGCCTTTGGCCTGATCCAACATTGGCGTCTCTTATGTTCTTATGATAATTAGTTCAAGAATAAATCACCCCTGCCACCCTGTCTCCTGTTAATGCCCTCCATCCTCCCTGCAATGACCTCTGCAGCCCAGCCTTAAGGAGGTGGAATAAGCCAGAAATCATGCTCATCCCTGGTTTTTGGTTTGGCATTTCAGCATTGCAGTTGACATGATCAGCAGTCCTGGTATCACGTGGTACAATCTGACCTTGACTTTGGCAGAAACACACTTAGGAGCCAGGAAGGGGGGAGTATAAATCCAATCTCCTCCTCCTCCTCTTCTTCTTCTACTGTCATCTGCAAGCAATGCTGATTCTGTGAACTTAGGCAGATCATGAGAGGTAGGGCAGGAAGGGCTGCCTCAGTGCTTAGCTCTTCTGGCCCTTTCTTACACGCCCAGGGAAATGCTAATCAGCACTTTCAGAAGCAATTTTTCTCCAGGGCAGTTTGGCTGGGGATCCTGGAGGGTTTTTTCAATCTTCTAGGAATGGAACAGCGGTCACTGGGGATGTGGGGGGGAGGTATTTGTGAATTTCCTGCATTGTGCAGGGGGTTGGACTAGATGACCCTGGAGGTCCCTTCCAACTGTATGATTCTGTTCTTCTTCCTCTTCCTCTTCCTCTTCTTCTTCTTCCTTCAATAGTGGATTGCCATCTTGTGGCAGATATAAGGACGTGCAGGACCACCACCTTTCCAGACCTTGAGATGCGCTAGAGAGCAATAGCTTTCCCATAATTAGGTCATTGACACTGATCTTCTGATTAATTTCTCTTTGTAGAGAACATTCATAAGGCACTGATATCCCTTCTCCCTAACATCTTGCCGGTTTCCAAAGATAACAAGCAGCGCTGGAGGAAAATTAATCAGCCCGTGTTTATTCCTCAGTGCCAAAGGCATGAAGGCTGCCCACCTCCCTTTGGCCTTCAGAGACTGAATTCTGATCTGCAGGTTTAAGGTGGTGGTGGTGGGGGGTTGCACCAAAGTGGTGTAGCATCTCTGTGACTTGAGGGATCATCTTGCATTTTTCCAAGACAGCACAGCAGCCACGTAGTCCGAGGAAAACATTCTGCAGATAATATAAGACAGATGATAAGCTGCACAGCCCCAAGGAAGGAGAGAAAGAATGCATGCAAACCACCTCTTGGCCGGAGCACCCGGCATAAGCGAGGGAAGATCTCCATGCTTTTATGCTAAACAAATACGCTGCCCGACCAAACTGACATCTTCTCATCAGAGGCCACTGGGGCCGCTGGCTTGCTTTGGGAAAAAAGGAGTTTAGGCATACAAGCAAAGCCCAGCGGGTTCGCTGCTCGAGAAAACCAAACAGAAGTACAGTGACACCTAACAGACTAGTAACCCTTGTGCCAGCAGGAGCTTTCTTGAATCGAGCTCAGTTCTTCATCTGCAGTCTTCAGGGGTCGTTTCATAGAAAAAGAGCTGGGGAACTCATTAGCATAACTCATTAGCATATGCCACACCACCTGACATCCATGAGGGGCCCAGTGGTGGACCTGCAAGGCCGGCGGGAGTGCAAGGAAGCCCCGCAGAGGCCCTCCCTGGCCCCAGGCAGGCAGGGGTGGGGAGAGGCAGGGAGGAAGCAACTTACCCTCCCTCTTCTCCTGCCTCCTCCTGGCTGAATGAGGGCCGGAAGTGGGGCGGCCGGAAGCAGGGAGTGGGGCGTCGTCATGTGCCCCGCCCCCTGTACCTCACCCGGGGGAACTGCGATCCCCCGCGATCCCCCCGAAATGACCTCTGGCAGTGTTAAAGGCAGCACTCAGTCTGCTCCCTGATCCCCAAGAAACAAGGAAGAACAGTCTGATTCTGTTTGTTTCATTTCCATCCCATCCTTCCTCCAAGGAATTCAAGGTGGAAAACAGGATACCTTAGGGTGGCTGCCCTCCAGGTCCAGAGAATGGTGTAGCCAATTCAGCCCTTTTCTGCATCCCCTCCTGCTTTCCTAAGTGGCTGAAAACATCGAGTGCCTCTGTAACTGTGGGCAAAAATAGCCACTGGGAACCAATAACGTGCCATTCGAACAATAAACATTTTATCCTTCAAAATATGACTATCTCGAGTTTCTTTCTGTGTTCAGAAGCTGCTTCCAAAGGATCAATAGTTTCCTATTCCGAACCTTTGTTTCTGTCTGTGGGCTTCAGAGAACTGAAAGGGCTGCGGGGATATCAAAGCAAGCTTGTTTTGCAATTCTTCCTTGCATCTTGAGCCTGTGTGAATATCTCCAAGCACAGACACACCGTGCCTTTCAGAAGGCACAAGAAGGTGAAGGGGTCTAAAGCAGAAGAGGACTGGAACGAGCCGTAGTATAAATGAATTCTAATAATAACAACAACAAAAAAAGCAACTTGAAGAAGTGAAACAGTTCGATTCGAGTCCAGTAGTGCCTCAGGGAATAACAAGATTGTCAGGGTACAGGCTTTTGAGATTCAACACTCCCTTCGCCAGACACAAATAGGAATGGATATCTCTGGGTCCTACTAGTCAGAAGTTGGGAGGGGGGTGGAAAAGAATCCTTGTAAAGGATGCAAAGGCACAAATGCGTATTGCAAATCAGCATGGTAACCTAACTGTTCCACTGCAGACCGACTATTTATTTATTTATTTATTTATTTATACCCCGCCCTCCCCGCGAACGGGCTCAGGGCGGCTTACAAGAGGGCAAGATATGCCCATACATAAAAACAGGATAAAAACAGTAAAAGCCAATGAATATTACAAATAAAGTGCTCAAATTTAAACAAGATGGTCATTCATTAGTGGTAGGTGGTTTTGCATGGAGGTAGTTAGAATGGCTACCCTCGGAAACCCGAGGAAGGAAAGAGCATCTCAAGCAGTGTTTTGGAACCTTGTCTCAAAAAGCCATCTCTCTCATTCTAAAAAGAGAAGCCGCCTCATATGAAGACACGCACCCCCCCACACCCCGTTTTTCTCAAAACTCCCAATGTTTCCATTAGAAAAACAGAGAGAGAGAGAGAGAGAGAGAGAGAGAGAGAGAGAGAGAAGCCTCCTGGGGACCATCCCCCTTCAGTTTTGTGTATTTTATTCTGGAAATTCTTCACATTCTTGCTTGGCACCTGGCTGCTGGGGTGGGGTAATGTTGCCAACCTCCAGATGGCACCTGGAGATCTCCTGCTATGGCAGTTGATCTCCAGACAGCCGAGGTCAGTTCCTCTGGAGAAAATGGCTGCTTTGGAGGGTGGACTCTGTGGCTTTATACCCTGCTCTGCCCCCAAGCCCCACCCTCCCCAGGCTCCACCCTTAAAATCTCCAGGTATTTCCCAAACCAGACCTGGAAACCCTAGCGGGTGGGATTGCCATCTCCATGTTGGGGAACTCCTGGAGTGCTCCTAGAAAACGCCTGGAGATTTGGGGAGGGAGGAGGCTGGAGCTTGGGGAGGTAGAGTTGCCAAGTCCTACCTGTTGCTCGCGCGCGCCGCAACCACGTCACCCGGAAGTGACGTGACCATGCCAGGCATGCTGGGGGCGGGGCCACGACCATCCGAGGGAAAACCATAGAGTTTTCCCTCGGATGACCGTGGCCCCGCCCCCAGCATGCCCGGCGTGGTCGCGTCACTTCCGGGTGACGTGCACGTTGCGTACTTTGGGGGTGGGGTTCCCCCCGGGCCCTGATCTGCCGGCGGCGGGAAATGGGCCTCTGGGGCAGGGGTTTCCCCGCCCCCCGGGGGGACTTGGCAAGCCTATGGGGAGGGGAGGGACCTCAGTAAGATATAATGCCACAGAGTCCACCCTCCAAAGCAGCTTTTTTCTCCAAGGGAACTGATCTCTGCAACTCTGGAAATGAGCTGCAATTCCAGGGGATCCCCAGGTCCCACCTGGAGGCTGGCATCCCTAGAATCTGGTATCACAGATTGGTCTTTGGTGGGGGGCACAAAACCCACCAGGAATGAAGGTTCATTGCCAATGAGTCCCATTATCTTAAGAAGAAGAGAAGAAGAAGAGATTGGATTTATACCCTGCCCTTCACTCGGAGTCTCAGAGTGGCTTACAAACTCCTTTCCCTTCCCCTCCCCACAACAGACACCCTGGGAGGTAGGTGGGGCTGAGAGAGCTCTTCCAAGAACTGCTCTTGAGGGAAGAGCTCTGAGAGAACTATGACTTGCCCAAGGTCATCTAGCAGGTGCAATTGGAGGAGTCGGGAATCAAACCTGGATCTCCCAGATTAGAGTCCGTGCCCTTAACCACTACACCAAACTTGCTCTGTATCTCCTAAAGCCCGCTGCTAGAATGAGAACCATTCAGTCAGGAATGAGTGATGGACGGTCCTCATGGCAACTGTAATGTATTGAAATGGCTTACTGAAATCGCCTCATTCACCTCCCATGTTAAGCTTCGAGCCAGACGAAGGCTGCTCCGCACTGACGTGCTATTGGTCGCTCGACAACAGCGACCAATCAGAAAAGGACTAAGTCCCCAAGTGGGAAGAACTCTCATTGGCCCTTATCCGCACAACCTCATTGGTTGTTAAGTGTAAATAGGTGTGGCTACATTAGCCCGGGAACGTTTAAAAGGAGCCTGGCTCCCTATGTTAAGTGGTTCTGGTTATGAATGCCTTTAAGCGCTTGTTTGTACCTTCAATAAAGCTGATCACTTTGCTGAAATCACTCTCCGGATCTTTGTTAGCGGCGATCTAACAGCAACACAGGCTGCTGTTGATCACTAGTCAGAACAGCTTGGAGGAGGAGGGGGGCGTTCTGTTTCTCCTGACCTGTGATTTCCTTTCTGGCCTGGCCTCACCCTGCACCCGGCTTGGCTGGAGCCACACCGGGCATTGGACAACTAGTGGGATAATGAAAGATGATAAATAAGACAAGGAATTAGGTAATTGGATAGTGTCGTCCCCAAGCGTTGGAGCCATTGCAAAGGATGTTATCCTGACCCTCCTTGTTTTCAGGGTGACACTCCACATTCCAAGGACTTCAGCACTGCATTACAAGAGATTACAAGGATCTTTTTTGGAAACTCGTCTCTGGACCTTCGTTCCACTCAGAGAGGCCATCAAAATAATCAGTAGCGATAAAGGCAGCTTTTGTGCACATTGCAAGCAAGAAAGAAGGCCCCCTTGCATGGGATATATATTGGCACAATTTATAGTGTATGAAAATTGGCCCTCAGAGGGGGATTATAAATCACTTTTGGACCCGTCCTTGTTCCTGTACAGTAAAGGCTCAGATAAAAAGTATAAAGGTAAACACATTTTTTTCTCCCCCGAAATATAAAAGGTATTTTTTCTAAAGGCATTAAGACCTGCTAAGTGGAAACAGCTGCTCTTAAGCCAGTTTGCAGCCTGCTTGCTGGGGATTTGTCGGGCCTCTCACAGTGATTCACAACTGAAGAAGGTTGTTAATTCCAGGGGCACCTCTTCCTCTCCCTGAATGGGCCGGAAGGAAAACTTCAAAGGCTTCTCTGTGCACGGTTTCCTTTGCCACCTCTTTTCCCTGCTCTGTTTTCTTCCCTCTTCTAAAAAAAAAATATTTTGAACATGATTGGCTTTTTCCTTTTTCCTTTTCAAACAGGGTTTTCCGAGAAGACCGATAATGTGGTGAAACCAGGGGCCTGCTGTGCCTCCTGCAAGGAGTTTTACCAAATTAAGCAGACGGTGTTGCAATTGAAACAAAAGGTAGGAAAGCTACTTTTTAAATTGTACTAGCTATTTAAATAAGGGAAATGGAATAGCATTGATGGACAGACGTGTATCTACTGTTATGAAAGCAGCGCACCATTGAAATGAATTGCCTAGAGAGGAATATTGTGTCTCGGAGGAATTAAAAGCAAAACAGGGCCCATTTGGGTATCTCCTGGTTGGGTTGCCAACCTTCAGGTGAGGCCTGGTGGTCTCCCAGAATTTTATCTGATCTCCAGAGTACAGAGATCAGTTCCTATAGAGAAAAGGGCTGTTTTGGAGGGTGGACTTTATAGCATTTCTTTGCAGCATCTATTTTCTTATTTATTTATGGGGGGGGGGGTGTTTACTTCATTTATAGCTTGCTATTCTCATTGAGACTCAAGGCAGACCAGGTTTGGACCAAGATGTGTGTCTTTGTGTGGGGTTCTTCTGAAAGGCCAGTCCTTCGAGGATTTTGCCACCCACCAGGATGGGAGAGAGAAAGAGAACTGTTAATTCATTTGCAGTGTTTGCCTGCTTAAGTAGGCAAACTTGCAGGACTTCACCAAAAAAGGATCCATGAGGGAAAAAATGTGTTTATCGAAGGCATAGGGTATCCAGACCAAGCCTGGCAACCAACGAGAGGGTTGGGGAACAGGTACATGGCAACATCCGCTAGCTCACGCCCGGCCCAATTATTTTGGATGATTCGATCATTGACAGCTCTGCCACAGGGCAGACAAAACAGTAGGGAATTGGATATTGGCTGCGAGGCCTTTGCGAGCTATTTCGTGGATAAAGTCTTGTCGCTCCGCCGTGACCTCCCCGCCACAGTTGATACAGTAAGTGAACTTGAGGCCCCTTGCACGGTTTCGCCGGGTTTGGAGGACTTTGACCGGCTCAGCCTGGAGGAAGTTGATAGAGTGCTTGTATCTGTGCGTCATTAAGGTGGGCCAGGAGGGGTTTCGAGGTGCCTTGAGGGAGATTATCAACAAGTCCCTTTCAGAGGGGCGGTTCCCCGAGGCACTCAAGGAAGCGATGGTCCGTCCCCTCTTGAAAAAACCAACCCTGGACCCGACCAAATTGGCCAGCTATCGACCGGTGTCCAATTTGCCCTATTTGGGCAAACTGATTGAGAGGGCAGTAGCGACGCAGTTACAGGCAGGGGTCGTTTCGTAGAAAAAGAGCTAGGGGGACTAATTAGCACAACTCATTAGCATATGCCACACCCCCTGACAACACCGGAAGTGTGTCATAAGGCCACACACCCCGCCCCCAACGGTCCCGGCCGCCGCCGCCGGCCTTGCAGCTCTACTGCCGAGCGCCATGAGGGGCCCGGCGGTGGACCTGCAAGGCCGGCGGGAGTGCAAGGAAGCCCCGCGAAGGCCCTCCCGGGCCCCAGGCAGGCAGGGGGGGGGAGAGGCAGGGAGGAAGCCACTTACCCTCCCTCTTCTCCTGCCTCCTCCTGGCTGAATGAGGGCCGGAAGCGGGCGGCCGGAAGCAAGGGGTGGGACTTCGTCATGTGTCCCGCCTCTCGGTACCTCACCCAGGTGAACTGCGATCCCCCCCGAAATGACCTCTGGTTACGGGGATTTCTAGATGACGCTTCCGTCCTTGATCCATTCCAGTCTGGCTTTCACCTGGGGCATGGGATGGAGACAGTGCTGGTTGCCCTTACTGACGACCTCCGTAGACATCTGGATCGAGGTGGTGTGGCGGCGCTGTTGTTGTCTGTCAACCGCATTTGATATGGTCGACCACCAGCTCCTGGCCCACCGCCTTGCCGACGCAGGGATTCAGGGGCTCACCCTTCAATGGCTTGTCTCTTTTCTCCAAAGTTGGGGACAGAGGGTTGGGCTAGGGGAGCAGCAGTCCCGGAGTGAACCTGCTTGAATGTGGGGTGCCGCAGGGGGCGGTGCTTTCCCCGATGCTGTTTAACATATATATGCTCCCCCTCGCTCAGATTGTCCAGAGGTATGGGCTTGGGTGTCATCAATATGCCAATGACACCCAGCTCTATCTGATGTTGGGCGGCCAGTCAGACTCCGACCCAGAAGATCTTCACCGGGCTTTACAGGCCGTGGCTGGGTGGCTCAAGCTGAGCCAGCTGAAGCTGAACCCGGCGAAGACGGAGGTCCTGTGCCTGGGTCAGGGTGGTATGGGATTGGGGCTCCCGCTCCCAGCCTTCGATGGGGCACCTTTGGTGCCAACTTCGGAGGTTAGGAGTTTGGGAGTGCTCCTGGACCCCACCTTAACGATGGAGGCCCAGGTGGCGGCCACTGCCAAAGCAGCCTTTTATCATCTACGGCTGGTGCGGCAGTTGGTCCCCTTCCTTAGCCGCGGTGATCTGGCCACAGTGATCCATGCGACGGTCACCTCGAGGCTAGACTACTGTAACGCTCTCTACATGGGGCTGCCTTTGTCGCAAATTCGGAGGCTGCAGCTGGTGCAGAATGTGGCGGCCAGGTTGGTAGCGGGTGCCTCTAGATGGGACCACATCCAACCTGTGCTGAAAGTGCTGCACTGGCTGCCTATAGCGTTCCAGATTCACTTCAAAGTGCTGGTGCTTACTTTTAAAGCCCAACATGGCCAGGGTCCGGCATACCTGAGGGACCGCCTTTCCTCACACAGGCCCCAAAGAGCACTTCGGTCGGGGTCACAACACCGTCTACTGACCCCGGGCCCCAAGGAGGCCAGGCTTGCTGCCACAAGGGCTAGGTCCTTTTCGGTGACGGCTCCTACCTGGTGGAATGAGATCAGGGCCCTGCGGGACCTGATACAGTTCCGCAGGACCTGCAAGACAGAGCTCTTCCGCCAGGCTTTTAAGTAGGAGCCGCCACCGCCACTGCCACCATCATGCGACTGCAGAGCAGTTCCGCCATGTCGAGCTGGCCAGCGGAAACATCGTGGCCCATGGCATCCCCCCCCCTTTTTTTGGACCCCATTGGGATATGCAATAGGGAGTAAGTATTGTAGTCATTTATGTATCCTGTGAGATGTGCATTTTTGCCTAAACTGTTTTAACCGTTGACTTTTACTGCACTTGTGCCTTAATTGTTTTAACTTCTTGTATTTTTACCGCACTTTTGTGCCTGTGTAAGCCGCCCTGAGCCTGCGTGCAGGGAGGGCGGGGTATAAATGAAATAAAATAAATACATAAATAGAGTTTCTAACGATTCCTAGAATGACTCATTGTCATGCCCAGAAGTGATGTACCGGCATAGAAGCTGGGGTTTTTTTTTAAATTGAAGTATTTAATCCTACTTCCATATAACTCAAACAATGCATAATGTAGCATATATGACATACATCAATACATCGAATATTTCTTTCCCCCGGCATAGAAGCTGCTGGTGGTTTTTTCTTTCTTTAATTTTCTCTCACTGCTCTTTGGAGCAGCTGTGGACAACAGGGACAATCGGCAGGAGGCCTCCCGCCATGGTGGAAGTCCTGGTAACCCTACTCAGGCAGGAGAAACAAAGACCAGTATTGAAATAGTACTGGTAAATGAAGAGTGTTTGTGTGGTGGGGGGTTACAGTGTTTTCCAAACAGTGTTCCAGAGATCCCTGAGGTTCCTTGAGAGTTTATTAGGGTTCATCAGTTAGAAAATCAGTAATGGGAGCAGACAAGTTTCCTTGGCACAGTGCTTGTCCACCATTACTGGTTCTCTTCCTGCGGTATACCCAGAGCCACAGAGGAATGCTGGGTTGCTTCATGCAGGGTGACGGTGATGCCCAGTAGATCTTGGCACTCTTGCGTGAAATGAGTTTGAGCCCTAGAAAATGCCCACAGGATTCTCTACAACGCCCAGGAATTCTGTGGGAGGCACAAATGCTTTCCTCACCGGGGAAAAAGGAAAACATGGACAGCATTCCCCCAAGGTAGGCAGTTACGAAAACCTCTGGTTTTCCTCCTCCTTTCCCACCATCCCCTTGACAGAGTTGCTAAACTAGTCTGAAGGAACCTCTTGCCAAAAGAAATAAATAGCGAGCAATCTGTCCATGCAAGCAATGCCATGTGTGGGAAAAGTGAGTACCCCTGTGCACATGCGTTCACTCAGAGACGCACGTCGGTATGTCTCTAATTAGAAGTCAGCATTAAAACCAGACCCTGGGCATCCCGTCCCAGAGCCCAGTCAGCAAGTTTCCTCGCGGAATGTCTTCAGGGTTACGATGCAAGATGGCAGGTGACGGCAAGGATCCTGTCTCGTCTCCGCAACTGTCGTCCCTCTGCGCCTATCCCTTAGGAAGGTTTGCAGCCTTACGGGGAGAAAATAGTGCATGAGGAAAGACAGGAGTGAGGTCATTTTGGACAGCAGTTCCAAGCCCGAACTAAGAAAGTGGGATGGAGCAGAACTCGAGTCCGAACCTGTTGTTAATCTCCAGTGAAGAGGATAGCACTAGACGTCGAAAGCACAGGGCTTGGCACGGGAGGCAGAGTCTTCTTTCCAGGGGATATTGGAGAGCGTGCTTCCAGCAGAGAGAGAGAGAGAGAGAGAGAGAGAGAGAGAGAGAGAGGGCCGCTGACTGTGCACACATTTCATGTGCTTCCAGGCCAGGCTGACTCAAGAGGTTGGCATCTGGGTGACCTTAGTGAGAGCATCTGTGCTATCTGGTACAGATAAGTGGGCTGGCTGTGCAATTGAGAATGCCTCTGCGTGCATGCCCCCCCCCCCCGGGGTGGGAGGGCAAGTCTTCTCATACTCTTAAGTATTCCAACTATTTGAAAATGAAAACCATCCTGAACATAGAATCATAGAGTTGGAAGGGGCCATAGAAGCTGTCCAGTCCAACCCCCCTGCTCAAGGCAGCATCAGCCTAGAGCATCCCTGACAAGTGTGCGTTCTGCCGCTGCTTAAAGACTGCCAGTGAAGGGGAGCTCACCAACTCCCTAGGCAGCCGATTACTATAATTTTTTCCCCGTAATATCCAGCCAGTACCTTCCCGCCTGTAATTTAAAACCATTATCATGAGTCCTCTCCTCTGCTGCCAACAGGAACAGCTCCCTGCCCCCCTCTAAGTGACAGCCCTTCAGATACTTCAAGAGAGCAATTATGTCCCCCCTATGTCCCCCCTCCGCCTCCTGTTCTCCAGACTGAACACTCCCAACGTCCCTCAGCCTTTCCTCATAGGGCTTGGTCTCCAGGCCCCCGATCATCCTTGTCACTCTCCTCTGCACCCGCTCCGTTCTGTCCGCATCCTGTCTGAAGTGATGCCTCCAGAACTGCACACAGTCCTCCAGGTGCTCCCTGACCAGTGCAGTGTACAGTGGGACTATGGCATCTTGTGATTTGTATGTTATGCCTCTGTTGATATACCCCTAGACTGCATTAGCCTTTTTTGCCACTGCATCACACCGGCTGCTCATGTTTAGTTTACAGTCCACCCGTATCCCAGGATCTTGTTCCCACGCACATGATCAGCTCACAGAAGCCCTTGGGATCCATCTCCAGCACCTCCATTTGAATATAACAGTTCAAGAAACAGGGTTGAGGAAGACTCTTGGGGTGTCTTTGGGGCACCATTGCCCACTGGAATAAGAGGAATGCGTAGGCAGCACTGGCATAAGTCAGATGTGCATATTCACCTTCACATTAAAATTTAGTGGAACATTGGGGTAACTCTAATTTTTTTTAAGTCCGTAATCAGTTGGCCTCCTGGGGCTTGTAATTCAGCTGTGATTTGAACTCAGGGCCAGATCGAGAACCCCTGACTCCTGAAGCCCTCTGGCAATGAAGGGCAGTTCTCAGTTTGGTTTTTGTGCTCGGATATATGTAACTAAGTAAAAAAGATATATGCAGCCCCATCAAGTATGGTGAGGGATACATGTGTATAAAATTAGGTGTGTGTCTCTTTAAAAAGAAAGAAGCAAGAAAGAATTGGGTTTTCGTTTCAGAGGGTTTTTTTTTTAAGGAACACATGCCTATTTGAATTCACATTGAGCATGCCAGGCAGTATATCTGTGTATCTGTAGTATACTGTAGTGAGCGCTCCCTCATGGGCAGTCTTTATGCAGCAGCTGGACAAACACTTGTCAGGGATGATCTAGGCTGATCCTGCATTGAGCAGGGGGTTGGACTAGATGGCCTCTATGGCCCCTTTCAACTCTATGGTTCTATATCCAGGTATAAAAGACAGAACAAGCCCTTTATTCCAGACTGTTGTTAATACTTTCATTTGATAACATCTGCATGCTGCTCTTCCTCCAAGAAACACAGGGGGGTTATGCCATTTTTATCCTCACAACTACCCTGTGAGGTAGGCTGGGCAAAGCCAGAGCAGCTGGCTTAGATCACCCAGTGAGCTCCAGAACTGCACTTCTTTCAGAAACCAGAAGCACTCAACTTAGTCCTACGTTCAAATCCTAGATGAGGGAATTCTCCAGAGATATTTTACACAGGTTTACCCTGACCTGGATAGCCCAGACTAGCCGGATCTCATCAGATCTTGGAAGCTAAGCAGGGTTAGCTCTGGTTAGTACTTGGATGGGAGACTCCCAAGGAAGTCCAGAGTCACTACACAGAGGCAGGCAATGGCAAACGACCTCTGTCCGCCTCTTGCCTTGAAAACCCAATGGGGTCGCTGTGTCAGCTGTGATGAGAAGGCACTGTCTTCAACCACTGTGGGTTCAGATACCACCCCCTTAGGTAAAGGTAAAGGTTCCCTTGCTCGAAAGCCAGTCGAGCCCGACTCTAGGGTTGCGGTGCTCATATGCGTTTCAAAGCCGAAGAGCCAGCGCTGTCCGAAGATGTTTCCGTGATCATGTGGCCGGCATGACTAAACACCAAGGCACACGGAACGCTGTTACCTTCCCACTGAAGTGGTACCTATTTATCTACTTGCAATTTCTTGCTTTCGGATGTAATTTGTGCTGGCTGAGCAGCTTTTGGCTGAGGCTGTGTTCTTCTCTCTTCTTCCCAGGTTGCTTTGCTCCCAAACAATGCTGCTGACCTTAGCAAACCAATCACTGGGGAAAAGGTGCTCGCATCCAATGCCTATATAGCAGGTCCCCCTGGACAACCAGGTGATCGGGGGCCTCCAGGTAAGGCAACAGAGCAGATTGTTCCTGTATTTAAGAGGGTTATGGGGGGGGAGCCAAAAAGCCAAGGAACTCAGGACAGAATAGGTGGAATTATTCCATTTGATTTCACAACAACCCTGTGAAGTTGGTTATACTGAGAGTCAGTGGCTCACCGAGGCAATCCAGTGGGGTTGATGGGGGGGGTTTAAAAGTCTGCTCTCCCGAGAACAAGCTCAGTGCTTTATCCACAACACCCCACCAGTCCCAGTGTTGGGTAGATGATGGGCATGAACAGAAACATCTCTTTAATTCGAGCCATCTGTATCAGGATTCCTAAACAACCCCGGGGGAGATTTTTTTGCCCTGTTGCAGGGGCTGTGTGTACTCTTAAATACTTCAGGGAAATGGGGTGGGGGAGGCTGGAGGCCTTCCTTCCCCAGCAACTCTGTTCCAATCCAAATTGGGCCCTGCAGCACTTGGATAAGTAAGTTATGCATGGAGGCCAAAAGTTTCTTGTAATTTGGCCATCAGGCTGGCTCCAGCAGATGGGCAGTAGAAAGTTTAGACACGTGAATACATGTGAAGCTGCCTTTTACTGAATCAGACCACTGGTCCACTAAGTTCAGTATTATCTACTCAGACTGGCAGCAGCTCTCCAGGGCCTCAAGTCCAGCTCCTCTATATCATCTACTACCTGGCCCCATTAAACTGGAGATGCCCGGGATTGAACCTGGGACCTTCTGCAGGCCAAGCAGATGCCCTATCACTGAGCCACAGCACCCTCGCCAAGACAAGGCTAAAAACCACCATTTGTTTCTTGAAGCATGCACAAGATTCTGCTGGGACATTTTATGAAATAGTGCTGTTTTCCGCAAGAAGTTCCCCCTTAAGAAGCATTATTCTGTTGTTTAATTGGTTTACTGGCTTACAGCTTTACCAGTCAGTGAAAATATACATCAGTAAAGTAGCCAATTAAATTAATTAAAAAGCAGCAGCATTAAATTTTTAAATTTTACGTTTTCTTGGGTGCCAAATCTGTTAGAGACTAAGCGATACAAATGGCTTGGCTAATTAATAAACTATATATATATCTTAAACAGCCTCTGAGCAGAAAGCATTAAAAACAGGAATGACTGAGGCTGATACCAATGGAAGCAAGGGAACCCTCCTCTTTCTCAGCAGCCTCAACCAACCACCAATCAGATTAGCAGAATGTCTGGTAAAAAACAGCCAAGCATTAACCCGGCACCAAAGTGTATATTCTGCAACTGGGGGACATCTCTGGCTTCCACCTTCATGGGATCTTCCTGGTTTGTTATCGCAAATTTCCATGATGGGATTGCGGGCCCTATCATAGGACTGTACTGCATGAAAATGCACAGAGGGGTTGCTGGTCTGAAAATGTGCTGCACCAAGTGTTTCAAGCATGGCATGGCCACCATCAGCATACCCTGATCTGGTGAGACTCAGGTCATCTGGAGGAGCCCCTGCAAAGCAGGTGTGCCATGGAATTGTGGCATGCTAGCTGAGCACATGTGGCTGTCTTCCCATGGGTAGCAGCCCAGTTTAAGCCAAAAGAAGAGCCTGGATGTATACCCCGCCCTTCACTGGGAGTCTCAGAGCGGCTTACAATCTCCTTTCCGTTCCCCTCCCCACAATAGTCACCCTGTGAGCCAGGCGGGGCTGAGAGAGCTCTTTCGAGGACTGCTCTTGAGAGAACAACTCTGAAATAACTTGTAACTGACCCAAGGTCACACCAGGAGGTGCATGTGGAGGAGTGGGGAATCAAACCCGGTCCTCCCACATCAGAGTCCGCGCTCTTAACCACTGCACTAAACTGGGGTGTGGCTCAGTGGTAGAGCATTTGCTTTCCAAGCAGAAGGTCCCAGTTAGGGGTGTGCGTTTGGATCTACCCAAGCTGAAAATATGCCCCCCAAAAAACCACTTATCAGTATTCTCTGGGTATGTTTCAACATCCCAAATGTATCTGGGTTTTCTCTGGGGGGGAAAACCCTAAAAAAATCCTGGATATATCTGGGAATTATCCAAAAACAATGGATTGCTCCCAATGCTCAGCTGTTTGTCAGGCTTCTACTGCAGTCCCTTTAAAGTTCAAAGGGACTGCAGAAAACAGCCTGAGGATCAGCTGTGTTGGTGGGGAGCAGACTATTCCTGCTGCCTTGTGCAGCCCAGTTTAAACCGGGCTGCAGAAGAAGCCAAGCCAGCCCCAGGATTGGGTTGGCTTTTTTTAAAAAAATGGTATTTTTCTTCTCAGGTCCATTGGACCTGGAAAAAATTGGGATTTCTAGAAAATCCTGGACCCGAATACTGTACCAGTTTTGGGTTCCAGGATTTTTCAGGAATCTCTAATTTTTCCTCCCCAGGTCCGATAGACGCAAATGGAAAAATACTGGTTTCAAAAAATTGTACACCACTAGTCCCAGGTTTTAGTCCCCAGTCTCCCCACCATCTTCAGTTGAAAGGACTGGGTGGTAGGTGAAGTGAAAGACCTCAGCCTGAGACCCTGGAGAGCTGCTGCCAGTCTGAGTAGACAATACTGACACTGGTAGACCAAGGGTCTGATTCTGTATAGGGCAGCTTCATGTATTAAACATATTCAAGACAGGGAACTGGTGCAAAGCTATATCACTGCATGTCCTAAGGGCTGTCCGGTCCCATGTGAGCTTACCTGACCATTACGATCACGTTTAGTACCCTGGCCTCAGATGCCCCTGCCTTCTGAGGTTAGATGAATAGTAGCCTTCTTGGTTGTGGCACCAGAATTCTGGGATTCCCTCTCCAGGGAGATCTGTCTATCCCCCTCGGTCATTGTCCTCTGCTAGCTGTTGAAGACTTCTCTGTTTCATCTGGTGTACCCACAGGTAGCCTTGTTCACATGTTACAGTGAGTGCATGTGCATCCTACCCGTACGGGTGTACTTTTTTTGTGTGTAAGTTAGAACCAACACCTTTTCACTTTCACAACACTTCACGCAGGAAATCAATCACACAATCCAAGTTTGTCAAAACTTGGTTCCCACTTATTCAGTACATGACAGAACACGAACTAATACCATCCAACCCTGCATATATTGAATGACTTCGTTTCTAACCGTAGGTAAGGCTTAGTTCGAGCACCTACCTATTCACCTAGCACATTAAAAACGCATAACACACACACAGAATTATACTTTGCTTATGATCTGAGTTTGTGCAATTTGACGACAGCTTATCTATTTATGTACTTATGTTTATTCTTGTATTACAGTACTCGTTAACAAAAAAAAAGATACTGATAGTTGTATAAATTGTTTGTCTTATCTTGAATAAAAAGTTTATTAAACAAAATGAAACCAGGGACTAGTACCTGAATAAAGATGGTGCTTAAATCACATTTTGAGCTGTACATGCATTAAACATGATATGAGAATGACTCAATGCACATATAAAGAATAAGCAAGTGTACACAGTCCACGGACTGTATGTGCGTTCACCGTAACTTGCAAACAGGGCTACTGACCGGCCCTCCTCCTTGCTTGTTTTTTAATTGCTGGTTTTTGATATATACATATATTGCTTTCAGACTTGATTTTTGCCTTGTCAGCACCACTATTTAGTGATTAAAAAAAACGCTTGGCATCACTGTATACATCTTCCCTGCACGCACATGTAAACACCTCTCCAAGGAGATGTTAAGAAGAAAGGGGCAGTGCCATCACCTTTAGCATTTCCGTGCTGCACTGAAAGAGCTGCCACCTGAGAGTGCATAGAAATGCTGGATGTTTCGCGTCATACATTTCTTTTACCAAACATTACCAGTGAGCGATGCCCTGAGAGCTTGACTTCTTCCTTCTGGTTTCCCCCCCTCCATTTCGTGAGCTGTCCGAGGTGCTGAAGGCCTTAAGTTCTTCTGCTCTCCCAACTGAAAACCATCCATCCCAAGCTATAGCTTGGGATGAACAGTTATAAGTGGCTGGGAACTGCAAAGAAACGTTTCTAGCTGTGATTCATAGTCTTCATTGATGGGTGGTGGTGGTTGTGCCCAGCTGATAAGTATCTCTGCTTCCAGTTCTAAGCAGGTCTTCTTCTAATCCAAATCCAGCTAGCCAGGCGTGAAGCCTGTTTTAGTATTCCCAGCAATTGAACTTGGGGCAAAATATGGGTTGCATCAGTGGTATTGCTTCTTGTTGTTTTCATACAACCCCATTCGTCAGTCACAAATATTACCACCTCAGGGCCAGATTGACCATTATGCTAACAAGGCTACGGACTAAGTCCTTCTTTTTTTAAGGTCCTCTGTTTCCCATCTCAGCCACAAAGCTCACTAGGTGACCGTGGCCCGGTCACTCTCCCTCAGCCTTATCTACCTCAGAGGGCTATAATGAGGACAAGGAGGAAGCAAAGGCAAGGTCTTTTGAAACGTAGTATGTGAAAGTGCCCATTAAGTGGCTTTCAATGCCTAATATGCACAAGAGAGGGAACGCCATGTGGTGAGGAGGGCACACACTCCAGGGTGGCTCTGAGACAGGATACTTTAGCCCTTTACAGTTCATTAAGGATGCAAGACAAAATGGCTTCTTCTGAGTGTGCTTTCCTCTCTAGGAGTGGAGAGGCTCTTCCCTCAGCCAATGGAAATCAGCTGAGCCATAAAGAGACACTATAGACCCCACTCCTCCACTTGCACCTGCTGATGTGACCTTGGGTCAGTCACAAGCTCTGGCACAGCTGTCCTTGAGAAAGAGCAGTTTGTGTCAGAGCTCTCTCAGCCCCACCCACCTCACAGGGTGTCTGTTGTGGGGAGGGGAAGGGAAAGGAGTCTGTAAGCCGGTCTGAGACTCCAAGTGAAGGGCGGGGTATAAATCCAATCTCCTCCTCCTCTTCTTCTTCTTCTATCTCTCCTTATATATAATTGAATAGTGGGTGCCAAAGTTCTAATTCTAAAATGCACTCCCTTAGTGTATGGCTGATGGCACTGCTCCTCAGCATATATCGCCACCAATCAGAAGGCAAAGCCCGGGTCCCTCCCACACCACAACTGCTGCGACAACCTGGTCTTTTGCATATGGAAGCTGATTGGACTTCAGTCCATTCCACACCTCAAACTCCCCTCCCCCCCCGCAAGGCAGTTGGAATTTTCAGTTGCATAACATACCTCAAAGGAGAGAGGAGAATGGGTAACAATGGTTACCACTCTCCAGGTGAGGGCTACAGATAACTCAAACATACCAATGCTCTTCAGGTAGCAGAGATCAATCCCTCTGGAGAAAACAGTGGACTCTGTCATTAAACCCTGCTGAGGTCGCCACAGGAAACTGACACTGTTTGCCCAAAGCCAGAGCACTCTCCCAGAGCCTCTTTCTAGATCCCGTTGTATTTATTTCCGCAACAGGCATTATTTCTATTAGTAATATATTACAGTGAGATTGTAAGGGCATCCCAGTAGACTGTTACACTCCAATTGGCAGAGGAGGGTTTTTCCTTCCATTTCTGAATGTTCCCTCATGTTTGTTTTAAACTGCCTGTAACTATAAAGTATCAGGAAAAGGACTGGGAAACCTTTCTTCCTACTGTGTTAATTTTCAACATGATTTGTATAGGAAGGAGAGTTGTTGTTTTTTACTATGAGTGAACATTCAAAATTGCCCGGCCCCCCACAGCCTGGAGTGGGCATGGCCCGGGACGCACGGTATGATCTAATCCAACACAGTGTCCTTCCACCCCCACTCTGCTGTATGCGAATGAAGCCTTGGAGGTCTCGTTGGACCACTGGCCGTCCTTTCACACAGTGTGCCGTGTAACAGCAACCAGCATAGTGAACTATTTATGCTTGCAGATTTCTTCTGTGATTTGAACACATTTGTTAATTTGATAACTTTTGATGATGATGATTTTGCAGTGTGTAAGTATATACTTACCCTGAGCTGGGTGGCCCAATCTTGTCAGATCTCAGGAAGCTAAGCAGGGTTCACCCTGGTTGTTGTTGCTGCTGCTGCTGCTGTTGTTTTTGTTATTATTATTTGTAGCCCACCCATCTCGTAAACGGGCTCAGGGCGGGTAACATCATAAAAACAGTACAAGAAATACAATTAAAATTAAACAAGTTAGAAATTCAAATAATAACAACATTAAAACTTAATCACACTTCTGACTGTCACCGGTTGTACGGTTCTTTAGCATATTATTTGGGTTAATAGATGGATAGGTGACAACGACCTCAGGGAGGCCATATAGAGACGTCCACTGCCTCGACCAAATGCCTGGAGGAACAATTTACCCCGCCCTTCACTTGGAGTCTCAGAGCAGCTTACAAACTCCTTTCCCTTCCCCTCCCCACAGCAGACACCCTGTGAGGTGGGTGGGGCTGAGACAGCCCTTGAGAGAACAGCTCTGAGAGAACTTGTGACTGACCGAAGGCCACATCAGCAGGTGCAAGTGGAGGAGTGGGGAATCAAACCCGGTTCTCCCAGATTAGAATCCGCGCACTTAACCACTACACCAAACTGGCTCTCAACACCATCCTGCAGGGCCCTAATCTCGACTGGGAGCATGTTCCACCAGGCAGGGGCCAGGGCAGAGAAAGCCCTGGCCCTGGTCAAGGCAAGACGGACGTCCTTTGGGCCAGGAACGACCAGGAGGTGTTGATCCGTACAGCGTAACGCTCTTCGGGGCGTATATGGGAAGAGGCGGTCCCTCAGATATGTGGGTCCCACGCCGTGTACTTGGATGGCAAACCTCCATGGAAGTCCCGGGTTCCTGTGCAGAGGCAGGCAATGGCCGACCACCTCTGTGCATCTCTTGCCCTGAAAACCCTATGAGGTCACCGTAAGTCGGCTGTGACTTGACGGCACTTTCCATCGCCAAGTACATACTTGGGCTCTCCCCTTCTTTTAGACTTAGGCCCTCCCTGCCTGTAGTCGGGCTCTGTTTTTGCTGAGCCTACTTTTCACCCCCACTCGCAAAGCTAGGCTTTTACCAGTCTGCCCAATGCTGTCTAGTCCAAAACTGTCCGACTGCCTCCGCTGACAACTTTAACTCTCTCCCTTTGGTTGCAGGTGCCCCAGGGCCAAAAGGGGGCCCCGGATATCCTGGCTCCCCTGGGACTCCAGGTCTGCCGGGCCCTAGAGGACCAATGGGGCCTATGGGGCCCTCTCCAGACCTATCCCATATCAAGCAAGGCAGAAGGGGCCCTGTGGTCAGTATTGTACCTCCGTGTGATAAGTATGCATATAGATTGTGTGTTGCTTGTACCATTGCATGGTTGTTGTTTTTTTGAGGACTCTGTTTCTGTTTTGCAGGGCCCTCCGGGGGCACCAGGGAGAGACGGGGCAAAGGTCAGCAAACTAATCTTATTCCCCCTCACCCCAGAAAGTATCTTTTCATTTCTTGTGATATGTCAGACGGCTTCTTTAAAGTTGGGGGGGGGTTGAGGTGAAGGCAGGGCCAAAGTAATTGCAGTCTGTTGTACTGGATAGGGCCTGTAAGACGGAGCTCTTCCGCCAGGCTTTTGCATAGGGGCCGCCGCTGCCACCACCACCAACGGTGGCAATACCATCGAGATAAGGAATCACCCTTGGAAGTTCCGCCACAAATTGCCTGGCACTGACAATGTGGGAATGGCCTGAACTTTCTGCTGGACAGTGTTACCCCAATGGGGAGGATCTGAAGAGGCCATCAAAACCACACAAGACCATCTTGTTAATAATAAGCACTTTACTATTGTTATTGTTGTTATTATCCTTGATTTTATTGTTTTATCTGGTTTTATGTATGGGCGTATGCCCCTTGTAAGCCGCCCTGAGCCCGCTTGCAGGGAGGGCGGGGTAAAAATGTCTAAATAAATAAATAGCACACAGGGTCCCATCACTGATCAGACCAGGGAGGGAGACTTTCACGCATACCGAGTAACGCACTTTCAATCCACTTTCAGTGCACTTTGCTGTTGGATTTTACTGTGCGAGACGGCAAAATCCACTTGCAAACAATCACTAAAGTGCATTGGGTACACGAGAGAGGGACTTTTCAGTGGTGGCCCCATGATCATGGAAGAGCCTTCCCAGGGTGGTATGCCTGGCCCCTCACTTTTGACCTTCAGGAGGCAGCTGGAGACTTTGATTTAGGGCTGCATTTATTTAAAACAGTCCTAAGTTGTGATTTAAAAATTTTGGTTTCGTATTTTCCTAATGTTTGTATGTATCACAAGCCACCTTGAGCTCTGTAAGGAGAAAAAGAGGCTAATAAGTATTTTAAATAAATAAATAAAAAGTGGATTGAAAGTTCATTATTCAGCGTGTGTGAAAGTGTCTGAAGCGCGTTTATGTGAGGCAGGCGTACTACATGGCCCGCTCTGACCTAATCGCCATTAGGAAACTTCCTTGCTGACGGAGCTGTTCCCTTCCTGGGTGATGGCACCCAGAATGAATCCCCCACCTGACATCCTGAAAGTCCCTCCGGGTCCCAAATCCTGTTGTAAAATCATAAGCAAGCTACAAGCTCGAGCCATTCGATGTACAGCACTGCAGCAGAATTGTACTGCACCGATCCAGAGTTTGAGCTGCAGTTGGGGCTGTTCCTTCTCAAAAATGTCTGGAGGAGGAGAAGGTTCGACAGACTGCCTTTAGAGGCTTTGTTTTTTATTATCTGTCTTTCACATCATTTGGAAATATTTTCAGCCTAAAACTTTGCTGGTGAGACATAAAACTAGAAGAGCGAGACAGCATCTTAGAGACTAACAAGATTTTTGGGGAATAAACGTTCGAGGGTCAAAGCTCCCTTCGTCAGATACAAGTAGGGATCGTATAAAGGGAGCTGTGACTCTCCAAAGCTTATTCCCTGGAAACCTTGTTGGTCATTGAGCTGCTACTGGGCTCGATTCTTGCTCTTCTCTTATACTGCAGATCAACATGACTACCATCCTGAAGTTAAAATTAATTTATATGATGAGAGCCAGCATGGTGTAGAAGAAGAAGAAGAAGAAGAGATTGGATTTATACCCTGCCCTTCACTACCTGAAGGAGTCTCAGAGTGGTTTACAATCTGCTTTCCCTTCCCCTCCCCACAACAGACACCCTGTGAGGTAGGTGGGGCTGAGAGAGCCCTTTCGAGAACTGCCCTTGAGAGAACAGCTCTGAGAAAACTTGTGACCGACCCAAGGTGACACCAGAAGCTGCATGTGCAGGAGTGGGGAATCGAACCCGGTTCTCCCAGATTAGAGTCCGCGCTCCTAACCACTACACCAAACTGTAGTGGTTAAGAGCAGTGGATCTGGAGAACCGGGTTTGACTCCCCATTCCTGCACATGAAGCCCGCTGGGCGACCTTGGGCCAGTTACCATCTTCTCAGAATTCTCTCAGCCTCACCTACCTCACAGGCTGCCTGTTCTGAGGAGAGGAAGGGAAGATGATTGTATGACACTTTTAGACTCCTTAAGGTAGAGAAAAGCAGGGTATAAAAAACAACAACTCCTCCTCCTCCTCTTCTTCTTTTTCTTCTTGTTTTGATTCAATATACTTCCAATTCTGATACCTTTAGGTTGTTTAAGGGTTCCTTCCCTTTTGTAAAGTATCTTTCAGAGGGTAGCTGGGTTGGCCTGCAATAGAACAGTTAGATCTGAGTCCAGTAGCCCCTTAAGAGACACCTTCTGACTAGGATCAAAGGACTCAGATCTACATTTCCACTTCGCTCGTGTCTCATGAAGGGAGCTTTGCTCCTCCAAAGTTTTTACCCTGAAACTCTCGTTGGCCTCTAAGGTGCTACTGGACCTGTCAAAATATGTTCAAAGCCTGATTAAGTGATCTGAAGTCTTGCAAAAGGGTTACGGATTGGAGTAGAAAATATGATACTTGATTAAATGGTGAATGAAATGAAGGCTGCAATGCTAAAGTCCCCTTTCTGGGAAGGAAGTCCCACTGAACTGAATGCCACTAGCTTCCCAGTAACTTCCCTAACTTGCACTTAAAGTCTTACTTGTGGCAGAAACACGTTGGCTGTGGGGTTTGGCTGAAAAGGTAGCTGATCAGCAGCAAACTGATTTTGTTTAGTGAGATTGAGAGACGCTCCCTAGAGAGGTCGTTGTATGCAAAAACCATGGCCTGAATGCTCCTTTTGTACGCAAACAAGAGCCTCATTGTGGAATAAGTCTACCTGTTGTGGTTCCATGCAGATTTAACAGAACGGTGTTTGTTACAGGGCGAGAGAGGCGCACCTGGAGAAAAAGGATCCCCTGTGAGTAATTTATTCAATCCCAGTCTCTTAAGAACGAACAGGCAGGAACTGTCACAGGCTGATACCATAACCCTTACTAAAACTGATGGTTACTGGGGGTTCATTAGCAAGCCACAGCTGAATGAATAATCATGCTTTTATCGGGGGTATGCATAGGGCCAGCACTTCCCTGCCTCCAAGGCTGCCCCCCATGTCTTTCACTAGGGGAACTCCCGTCACACGTGCCATCTCTCTTCCTACTTCCATTACAGCAAGTGGAGCAGCCTCCATATGTGCTTTGGAACCTTCTCTGAAGCATTTGTGGAGCTCTGAATTGATGGGATTGACAGTGTGTGGGCGCCTGTGTGTTTGTTTTGCTCCAGATAAATCCATGCTTTATTTTTCCTTTAAATTGCTGGAATTACTTAGTAGGCAGAAGTTAACATCATAAAATTCAGCCACCTTTTTTTAAGGTTTTCTCTTTTCACACACACCCCCTCTTGATTCTGCATTAAGTCATTCAGCTATGAGGAGGGAAAAGTCTGACACATTGAATCGTGGGCTTCTTTGCATTCTCATAGTCCTCGCTTGTGTGTTCCTGTTGCTTCGGCGGGGTGTGTGTGTTCCACATGTGTTTTGCTGCCTCTAGTGGTTAATTCGATATTACATGGCTTTATAGCAGGCATATCTCCCCAACGATTTAACTGCAAGTTTTTATGCCAAACATAAAGTGATATAATATCAAATCAGCCACCAGAGGGAGAAAGTACAGAACAGAAAAGAACCCAAAGCAACACAAGCGAGGAAAATTGAGAATGCCGAAAAGCCCCATGTCTGTTTGAGATTTGCATTCATGTCAGGATATTTTTATTTCAGGCCTCTAAATTCAATTATTCATGTATGCTTCTCTGATGACACCTTTCCAAAATGGGGCTTTGAAAATTTAAAGGCCCCCAGGACCATGAAGGACTAGTAACTTCTTTATTATACTTGGAACATTTTGTAGGGGCCGCCAGGTTCTTTCGACTTCCTGTTGCTGATGATGGCAGACATCAGGAACGACATTGCAGAGCTGCAAGAAAGGGTGTTTGGGCACCGGACTCATTCGTCAGGAGAAGAGTTTCCACTACCTCAGGAATTCCCAAACTATCAGGATGTGGTGGATCTGGGATCTGGAGAAGACTACAAGCAAAGGACTACATCGAGGAACTCCAGGACGCGCAGAGAAAGCCAACATTAAACAGAACTGGTGATCCGAGAAAGAATACACATTGATAGGGTGGCGATCCACAAGTCACTTAAGCCAGCATACTTGCACATATCCCAGTTTACATCTGTGGAAGCCAATAGAAAATAAGTTTTTGTACTTCCATTGGGGCTACTACATTCCTTTCCCCAGTTTCAGAGGGTAACCTTGTTGATCTGCAGCCAAAGAGCTGGATTCAAGTCCAGTAGGCCCTTAGAGATAAACCAGATTTCCAGGGTATTATCTTTAGAGAGTCAAAGCTTCAGCTCTTGAAAGCTTATACCCATAAAATCTTGTTGGTCTCTAGGGGGTTACTGGACTCGAGTCTAGCTGTTCGTTTCCCTAAGTATTGCAGGTAAGGCCAAATGTAGAACCAAGCTATACAATCGACAGATTCCTGCGATACAGCTGTTCCTGGAATAGACCACTTCAGAACATTTGAATGTTCCCCTGCATCTTATTTTTTAAAACTTGCACCTAGAAATCTAGCATGTCAGGGAAACAAAGGTTTTATACTCGTCTTTTTGAAGCCACGCTAGTTTTTCTAATATGTTGGGAGGGTTTTTTCAAAATTTAAATTTGGTTCGCTGTCTGCAATCTGAAGTACTAAGGTCCAACCATAGATAAATCCCATGAGTCTGCTGATGCTGCGACTCATCAAGGAGCACCGGTGCTAATGCGTATTCTGAGCCATCACTTGCCTGTGATCCGTAAATCCCTTATCTTAAATTTGCTGACTCTCCAGTGGAAGGACAGTGTGAATGCAGCTACGGCTGCCCACAAACACACACAACAACCTCTCCTCTCATCCTCCCCACAGGTCCTTCTGCAGTGCAAACAGTCTGCTGTTCTTTAGTGTCCTCTAATATTATCTACATTCTAGAGGACATCGGACTCTTCTGCATCCTCATTTTCCTTGCTTGTGCGTTCCTGTTGCTTCAGGGGCTTTTCCCCCTGTTCCTCATTTGTTTTGCTCCCTCTAGTGGACGATTCAATATTACATTGCTTTGTGTCCGCATAAAAACCTGCAGTCTAAATCTGCAGGAAGATATGCCGGAACACACAAGCAAGGAAGATGGGAATGCCAAAAGCCCAGTCTGTTCTCCCCTGCCCTGTTCAGCACTTGGAAGAGCTATGCAGTTCCTTCCCTTTCTTGCCCCAGTATTCTTGAGCGTGTAGTTCAGGGAATTGGACTTTCTGTATAGAGGTACTGGTGTTAACACCAGCATGGGTCAACTTTGATCCAGGCAAGGGTGCTCTGCTGGCATCTGCCTAACCTACTATGGTCGTGTGCCCTGTAAACTGTGTTAAGTTTGAGTACAGTGGCTTGAGTGCTTTGTAGATTGCACTGTTAAAGATTAACACACTATTTTAGAAATGCACTGATATTGTATATATATTATTGTCCAGAGTTTCTCCATTTTCTTCCTTGCAGAGATATTTACGGGCAGTAAATACAGTCCAAGTGTAAATTTCTGGATAAGAACTAGCTCTAAATCTAAATCTCTACTTGCACATGGATTCAGTTGTAGGGGGGAAATCCATAAAAGGCAGAGATCCTTTTGAGACTTCCAGCTTCAACAATTTGATTTGCATTTGCAAACCATCACAAATGGGGCCTTTCTCTATTGATCAGTAAAAAAAGGTGAACTGATAAGCATTTTAACTGCCAAATGTAGGTCTTAACAATCAGACAGTGCATGCACAGATTGTATTTTCTAGCTATGAATTATTTCCATTTTATAAGCAATGAACATGGAGACACTATGGTCCTCTCACAGAAATCCTTGCACATGACATACCTACTGCTATGTGCGAGAATTCCCCTACCAAATATATAATGAGTCGGCACTAAAAAGCTGATCACTTATTGGATGGGAGAGGAAGGTGTTGCAAAACCAACAGGTACCAGTGCCAGTATGATATGCAGTGTTCGTGATGCAGGAATGTGTCCCCTGTGGGTAAAAATATGACCCATACCTGATGCAAGCAGACACAGGATCCAAGTGTGGATGTGCATGTGGAAATCTACTTCAGCACATGAATTGCCCTTGCTGGATGATGGCAATGGTGTCAATATATTTATAGTGATAAAAAGTGCTTTCAAGTTGTAGCTGACTTATGGTGACCCTGTGGGGTTTTTAAGGAAAGAGATTCAGAGGTAGTTTGCCATTGTCTTCCTCTACATAGCAACCTTGGATTTCCTCAGTGGTTTGCCATCCCAGTACTAACCAGGACCAACCCTGCTTAGCTTCCGAGATCTAATGAGGATTGGCTAGCCTGGGCCACCCAGGTCAGGGCAATTTCTTCTTCTTCTTCTTCTTCTTCTTCTTCTTCTTCTTCTCCTCCTCCTCTTCTTCTTCTTCTTCTTTTCTTCTTCTTTTCTTCTTCTCTTCTTTTTCTTCTCCTCTTCTTCTTTTCTTCTTCTTCTTCTCCTCTCCTCCTCCTCCTTCTATATGCATACTGTTAAGTGCTCCCTGCTTCCCCAAGCAGTGAGAACTCCAGTGGTGACACCACAGGATTCAATTTCCTTTGTATGAGGGAGAGTGCTGGACTCTTAGAGTGTTGTTACAGTATTTGTTTTATTTACAAATATATGTGTGCAGACAAATAAGTGGGTTCTAAATCAAATCAACCCTGGAAACTAAAAAAACTACACTGAGGCTTTCGTACTTTGGTCATATTATGAGAAGACGATAATGCTAGGAAAGATTGAAGGCAGCAGGAAAAGAGGAGGACCCAGGGCCGTAGCTAAAGCCCTCCTAGTGGGGAGGCCCTGGGGAAAGGGGGAGGCGGAGTGTGTGTGTGTGCGCGCGCGCACCGCACACACATCACTGGGAATGGCATAATGCCCTCCCCCCCTTCTCTGGCCCTGACTGTCAGTGTCCCGGGTCGGCCACAGCCCTTCCTGCCTTGGCGGGGGCCGGCCTGTCGCTTCCCACGAGCGGAGCGGCACGGCCGGCGCACGTGTGGTGAGGAGGACCACCCGCGTTGCATCTCGGAGGCGCGCGGGCGGAGGCGCTGCCTGTTGCTGCTGGGGTCGCCTCGCCTCTTCTCCCCTCTCGGGCTGCGGCTGCAGAGAGTTCCATCATCCAGCCGGTCAGCCCCCGCTTTCGGGCGGGCGGGGAGGCGGGCCCGCCCCGCCGCCAAGGCAGGAAGGGCTGTGGCCGGAGCCGGGACCCTGACAGTCAGGGCCAGAGAAGGAGGCGGCAGCAGCAGCACTGATTTGGGAGGGGAAAGGGGGAGCAGGGGAGGGGGGCCGCAAAACCAGCAGGGGGGGCAGGCCCCACGGGCCCCACGCAGGCTACAGGCCTGGGAGGACCCAACATGAGATGGATGGACTCCATCAAGGAAGCCATGGCCGTCGCTTTCCAAGACCTGAACAAGGTTATTAATTAACAATAGGATCTTTTGGAGGTCATTAATTCATAGGGTCACCATAGGTTGGAAGCAGCTTGATGGCACATAATGCACACACACACATATGTGCAGAAACAAGCACGCTCCTGCAGAGAGGCAGCAAAACTTCTGATCTATATCAGACAGCTGAAGAGCTGTTCTTGTAACCTCAGGGGCTATAGCGGTCTCCAGTGGAAAAGCTCTCAGTTTTCTCAGTCTCCAAATTCAAACTGCAAACATAAATTATTTTTCTCGCTTGCTCTGATGGATACGATACCCCAACAGCCGGGGATATTGATTCTCTGATCTCCATCATGCAATGCTTTGGTCAGCAAAGCAAAACAAAACATGGAGATAGACCCTATTCCCAGTAATCAAGAGAGGCCTAAATCATAACAATGCAACTTAATGAGAATCCCCTGGCCAAAAATGTTCTGTTTTGGTATGCGTATGAAGCGTGTCTTTATCTGGAAAATGGAATGAGGCGGTTGACCCTAAAATTATGCAGGATTCAAGCCAATATTCACCCAACATTCTATTCTGTGATAAAAGTCACTATAATCCAATTTCTGCTGCATGTATCAAAAGCTAAATACAGGGCGGGGCTGGGGGCAGCATTCGTTCCACATCCCCTTCCAAGGTCTCAGAGTCAAAGAACAGCTGCAACTACTTGAATACTAGCAACAGTTCCAATCTAGTGAACCTGGCAGAGCAACTATGGCTGGTCCACAGAATATGCCTCCACCCCACCCTATTAATTCAAGTACTCATTTGAGGATTGCATGGCTCATGGGGTATGTAGGTCACTGTTGGAACTTTGGGAAATTCTCTCCAGTCATCATCTTTCACCTTAGCTTAATTCACACAACACAATCCATCTCCTTTAAATCCTATGGCTACACCACAAAGCCACAAAGGGGCCGATCCTGTCACCGGTTCCTCCTCCCGGCTGCTTCCTGCACACTTCAGCCACAGAGACTGCACCTCCAGCTTCATATAGAGGAACATAAGAACATAAGAGATGCCGATGCTGGATCAGGCCAAAGGCCCATCCAGTCCAACACTCTGTATCACACAGTGGCCAGAAATACCAGTGCCATCAGGAGGTCCACCAGTGGGGCCAGGACATTAGAAGCCCTCCCACTGTTGACCCCCCCAAGCACCAAGAAGACAGAGCATCACTTGCCCCAGAGCCCCTATCTATACCTTGTGGCTAATAGCCACTGATGGACCTCTGCTCCATATGCTTATCTAATTCCCTTTTGAAGCCGTCCATGCTTGTAGCCGCCACCACCTCCTGTGGCAGTGAATTCCAAGTGTTAATCACTCTTTGGGTGAAGAAGTACTTCCTTTTATCCGTTCTAACCCGACCGCTCAGCAGTTTCATGGAGTGCCCATGAGTTCTTGTATTGTGAGAAAGGGAGAAAAGTACCTCTTTCTCTACCTGCTCTTTCCCATGCATAATCTTATAAACCTCAATCATGTCTCCCCTCAGTCGTCGTTTCTCCAAGCTAAAGAGCCCTAAGCGCTTTAACCTTTCCTCATAGGGAAAGTGTTCCAACCCTTTTATCATTCGAGTAGCCCTTTTCTGCACT